ATACATCCACAGGTACACCTCCAATTGACTCAAATTATGTCAATTAGCCTATCAGAAGCTTCTAAAGCCATGGCATCATTTTCTGGAATTTTCCAAGCTGTTTAAAGCCACAGTCAACTTAGTGTATGTAAACTTCTGACCCACTGGAATTGTGATACAGTCAATTATAAGTGAAATAATCTGTCTATAAACAATTCTTGGAAAAATCACTTGTGTCATGCACAAAGTAGATGTCCTAACCGACTTGGCAAAACTATAGTTTGTTAACAAGAAATTTGTGGAGTGGTTGAAAAACAAGTTTTAATGACTCCAACCTAAGTGTATGTAAACTTCCGACTTCAACTGTACATATATATATATATATATATATATATATATATATATATATATATATATATATATATATATATATTGTTAGGGTGTTGGGGTAGATTTATGTCATCCTGTCTTCTGGAGATTTTATTATCTCTTTACTTTATTTAGTCTGATCAGTGGAGTAATTCTCATTATTAACAATGGCCTAAAATATAGGGTAATTACTGTGCTTGTCAGCAAGAACACTACTGTTATTCCCCAAACTTATTTTATTATTCCACTTCCCAATTGTGCCAGAGTAATAACATATTTGAAATCTGATATGCCTACTTGTGTCTTTGAAAATGAATGATATGAGCTGCAGCCATTCATGGACAGTTTTGAATAAGTAATACAAAGAAGTATTGGATATTAAATGCTCCAGGCCTCAAATATAATTTTTGACATTTTAGTTTTGTGCACATGCTAGGCAGATATGGTAGAGGGACTCACAACTGAAATTTCATCCCCCCCAAATCTCAAAGTAACAAAGTCGTTGAACTGTAAGTATTCATTTAATGTCCAAAGCATCCTGAATACACCTGACCTGTTGTTTAAAAAAAAAAGTATTCTCCACCCAAGTCATATGGCTAAACAATGTCAAAATACGTAGTATTGCAGGAAATTAGCTTTAATTTTATTGGGGGTGGTGCCTGGGGGCAATGAAATTCACATATCAAATATCACTTCAAGCTTTCTTGAAAAGTTGACAGCCCTGTATTTTAGTGCAATTTAGGGAAAATTGACTTCTAAGCATCACTCAAGTCAGAAGAGGCTCAGCGAAGGTTCGTGTCATTCATTTGCTATGTCATCGCCCTAGTGTTTTAGCCCAGCCAACGTTCTTTGGCGGTTTTTCAGCCTTGGATGAATTTTAACTCGTTCTATTGTCCAGCCTACTTGTGTTGCGCAGCCAGGAGGAACCCGGCGCCGGCGGACGTGTTGCTCTCTTGTGGTGTGTGGAACATATATATATATATATATATATATATTTAGTATTACTGGTAACTAATTAGCTTTATTCAATCATTTTGTTGTCATTGCGTTTGTATGTAAGGGTAAATCGTTAACTGGAAGTGAGGTGTGAAACGTCTTAGTTAGCGAGCCTCGTTGTAATCAGCCAGCTAACAGTAGCTAGCTAACTAACGTTAACAGCCAGACAGCTAGCTAGCTAGCTATCTAACGTTGGTAGCCAGGACAGAGTTTGGCCAGGCCTTTGAAGTGTAACGTTAGTTGCTTGCGTCGACTCATTTTTAACCAGATTCGAAAGCTAGCTAGCTGTAACATTAAATTACAAGCTAACTAGTTAATGAAAATGACCACCCAGTTCATCTAACGTTAACTAGCTAATTACCAAACGGTGACAGAGTAACGGCAACTAGCTAACGTTAACTAACTTAGCTAGCTAACTATTTGCAATACAATGGCAAGTGACTATTGTTTTCTATTGTTTAGCTAAGCTAGTTAGCTTGTCAGGTAACTTGGCGTTGGCGTATGCTAGTCAGCTAACGGTATCTTAGTGAAGTTATTTTGATGTGTGGCTAGAAACAGTTCATACAGTAACGTTAGCTAACTAACGTTATCTACAAATGCTAGGCCTGTTTTAGTGACCTGTGGTATCCTCATTTGGAACATTATTTAGTTTAAATCATTAATTTTGTGGGGTAAAAATAGTTAAGTAAATGTTCCAATACATTTAGTTTTTTCAGTAACTACCACGCACTGAAGATTAAAATCGTATTCGCACAGTTATTCTAGTAGCTAATTCGTCTTGCTACACTGAAAATATAAAGGCAACATGTAAAGTGTTGGTCCCATGTTTCATGAGCTGAAATAAAATATCCCAGAAATGTTCCATACACACAAAAAGCGTATTTCTCTCAAATTTGTTTACGTCCCTGTTAGTGAGCATTGCTCTCTTGCCAAGATAATCCATCCACCTGAGAGGTGTGGCATATCAAGAAGATATAAACAGCATGATCATTACACAGGTGCACCTTGTGCTAGGGACAATAAAAGGCCACTCTAAAATGTGCTGTTTTGTCACACAACAAAATGCCACAGATGTCTCAAGTTGAGGGAGCATGCAATTGGCATGCTGACTGCAGGAATGGCCACCAGAGCTGTTGCTAGAGAATGTAATTTGGCAGTACGTCCAACCGGCCTCACAACCGCAGACCACGTGTAACCACGCCAGCTCAGGACCTCCACATCCGGCTTCTTCACCAGCAGGATCGTCTGAGACCAGCCAGCTGATGAAACTGTGGGTTTGCACAACCAAATAATTTCTACACAAACTGTCAGAAACCGTCTCAGGGAAGCTTATCCGCATGCTCGTCGTCCTCACCAGGGTCTTAACCTGACTGCAGTTCGGTGTCGTAACCGACTTCAGTGGGCAAATGCTCATCTTCGATGGCTCTTCACGGATGAATCCCAGTTTCAACTGTACCGGCCAGATGGCAGACAGTATGGTGTCGTGTGGGCGAGCGGTTTCCTGATGTCAACATTGTGAACAGAGTGCCCCGTGGTGGTGGGGTTATGGTATGGGCAGGCATAAGCTACGGACAACGAACACAATTGCATTTTAATGATGGCAATTTGAATACACAGAGATATTGTGACGAGATCCTGAGGCCCATTGTCGTGCCATTCATCCGCTGCCATCACCTCATGTTTCAGCATGATAATGCATGGCCCCATGTCGCAAGGATCTGTACACAATTCCTTGAAGTTGAAAATGTCCCAGTTCTTCCATGGCCTGCAAACTCACCACACATGTCACCCATTGAGTATGTTTGGGATGCTCTGGATCGACGTGTACAACAGCCTGCCAATATCCAGCAACTTTGCACAGCCATTGAAGAGGAGTGGGACAACATTCCACAGGCCACAATCCACAGCCCGCTCAACTCTATGCGAAGGGGATGTCTCGCTGCATGAGGCAAATGGTCACATCAGATACTGACTGGTTTTCTGTTCCACGCCGCCATAGCCGTGGGAAGGAGGGGTTGTCTTTCTTCTACTAGTCCTGTATTAGTGGACGGATATAACGGTCTGTAGCACATGCAAGGATTTCTTTTTCTTCCGATTTCCTTATATGAACTGTAACTCAGTAAAATGATGCACAATATACAGTTTCACATTACAATTCTAAATGTAGTACATTAAATGTGAAGGAATGGGTTGATATCCAAATGTATCAAGTAGTAAGCGCTGATTTTAGCTCCCAATAATGGATTATATAATACTCAGTTGTGTAGTTAGTCCGTTATGGTAAAATTCAGTTTGACCTATGCTCTATCACACGGTATTGTGGATGGTGTTGGCACATCCTTGTCATGTTCTACATTTCCTCTCTTGTTACACTTGGGTGAGAAACTGCAGTTCTGATATTTGACTGTTTGCAAGTCTCTGTCCTGTACTCAAACCAGTTTCCGTTCAGTTTTCCGGGGGAGTGTTTGTTTGATTTAAATCTAGGTTAAGAAGCAGCTTCTTGTCCATTCATTTAGATCTTTGGATGGGGGATAGAGTTTATTATAAAGAAAAGTAGATTCACAGAAGACATTTTTTTTCATTCATTGTCACCTGCTGGAATCCCTAGAAGCCCCACCCCACCTATATTTTTGTACATCATCCCTTGTGAAGAAGTTGACAATTTTTCTGAACCTATAGTTTTTTTATCTCCTGCCAGTTTTTTTGGATGATTTGCTGGGTGCGCAATCCCTCACTTCTCTCTCACATTTATTCCCCCCCATAAAAATAAAAAAAAGGACGTTCTTGCATCATCCATCTATAATGCTTAGCAGTCTGGCTGGAAGGAGTCAGAAGGAAGGTCATAGGACGACAAGTGTCTCTGGACCTCCCCTTTCCCTCTTATCTCACGGATCGAGTGTTCCTTCAGGACCATTATTGCCACAGAGACACCCTATTAGAAGTGCTTGAGGAAGGGAGGAATCTTCTCAGCCACTCCAGGTGAATTTAGCCGAACAAACCTCTGAAGCAGAGTCTAATTTCTCTGCAATTTATACTCTGGGTCACTTTCCTGTCGTGGACATATGTCACAATGGACCACAAAGGAATTCTAATTATTAAGAATTAAACTCTGTAGAGTTATGTTCAGTCCCTCCAGGATTCAGCGATTCTGTTGTCGCTAATTATTTTGCAAAATCACCAATACCGCACATTATGCGAGGGCTTACAAATTTGACCAATCACTGCACTATTCCTCCATTAGACAGTCAAATCATCGCAATATTATTGCATAAAACTGACCCATCACTGCAGTACAAAGAAGGCTTGCAATTTCAACCAATCACCACACATTTACTGCATAATATGGTTCAATCAAGACACACGTCAACACTTTTTCCCTCGTCAGTGCATTTGTGACATTTGACAATCATTGCATATAGCCATGCAAAATGTCAGAATTACCACAGCAAAATCAAGCATTTTTGCCTGCAAATATCACAAAGAATCCCTGCGAAATCCTGGAGGGTCTGTTGCCGCCACAGTGAAGAAATCAAATCCACTCATGCCAGAGAAATGACCATGGCTCCTGTTTCACTGTTGCCAGCCCAGGGAGAGTCCTGTTGGCCCTGAAGAGAACACCCCTGACCCAGACGTGAATCCAGTAGACCAGCCTGAACATGACTAACCATAGAGATGACTGCTATTTCTTCTACTACTCCAACTGTGCTAAAGTAGGGGTCATAACAAAAACAGCATCGGGCACTAGCATTTTATTTCTTTTTAAATCTTTTATAAATGGCAGTAAATGCAGCTCAGATGTGTAAGTATTGACATGGTTGTGTTTGCATTTCCTGGTGCAGGGTGACCGCTGCCCCTTCAGACACTGTGATGCCGCCAAGGGCAGTGAGGTTGTCTGCAGCCTGTGGCAGGAGAGCCGCTGCTTCCGACAGGTCTGCAAGTTCCGCCACATGGAAATTAAGGTAAGGATCGGTCTCCTCACTCTGTCTCTGTGTGTGTGTTTAGGCCATCTTTGCTCATTATTGCCTGAGTTGTCACACAAACAAAAAAAAGTATATAGGGAATATCCCCTTCAGGTTTGGGCGGTATCCAGATTTTCATACCGTTTCTGTACCATACCGGGGTATACGGTATTACCGAATGTGCACACAAGGGGCGCTATTTCAAAAAACCCACAAAACAATTTAGGAAACAGGGATCTTGATCCAGAAGGGGATTGAATGTCTCTGCTGTAACCAAGAAGCTTGATCTTGACATCTAGCCACTTAGTTAGCAAACGAAATGCATAGCTGGAGCCCTGAGCTGGATATCATTTTTTACATCTTAGATTTCTTAGTTATACTTAACTTAGTTATAAGCAGTGGCATAGCACGCAGCCCCCCTCAAACTTTTTTAAAAACGGTATTGAAAATCCTACCGTTGGTAATTGGAAATACCCCAGTATATGGTATAAAGTAGGGATGTGACAAATGAACACATTTTCTTATCGTTTAAACTGCCATTTTGAAAGGTTATCCGTTAAAACACAAAAACATCATGAAATTCCAGGTCAATTCACAATGCAGAATAATGGTCCTATTACGTATGTATGACCTCTAGGACCGGGTTAATGAAGTTCTATCTACTGCGACCCTTTACAGACATAGAACCAGCTACAGTAACATGTTGATAACTTTTCAGACAATTAAATGTGCCGCGTTAGAAGCATCTGTACCCCTGCTGACCCAAAGATACTGTAACCCGGTCTAAGCTAGGTTATTCTACATTCAACAGACCGAAGACACATTCGTGTCATTAGCGAAGAGAAAGAGCAGGCAGGCCAGCGCGAGGGAGAGAGAGGAGGGGCAGGCAGAACCGTGCGCATATGTCTTGGTAATCTGCATCTCGCAATGTCTTAATTGTCTTGCATGCCTCGTAAATTCACCAAAGTAGCCTAAAGTTCGCCTCTTCCTCTCTGGTTTTATTGAAATTACACAACTTTCCCCAGTCCTTTATAGTCTTGTTGGGCTATAACACGGAAAATAATGTTTTGTGATAACTGCAATATGATTTTAATTATGTGGGGGGGGGGGGGGGTGTTTTTCGGTAGACATTTTTCTTAAGGTTAAGGATCCCAACTTCGTTTAAACATTTTAACGTTTAAACGTTCACACCCTTACTATAACGGGTATATCGCCCAAGCCTAATCCTCTTAAAGCTTTTCCCGCTCTAAGCTGTGTCTCTCGAGTGGCCTTTACAGAGGAGTAGAGAAACACCCTCTCTTAAAACCTGGGTCAGGGGCTGTGCCTCTGGACCTGTCAGGTGGGACATTTGAATCTCTTGTTGGTCTCCTCACACCATGTTCTCCAGTTTTAGACCTGGGCATTTTGTCATAGAAAGGGTTGATCTTCATTTTATTGTTTTCTAAAGTAAGCGTTCACAAAGACTTGAATGTTTAATAATACAAGACATGCTACTACGTGTTCTGACATGCCCCCTCTCTACCTCTTCCTCTCATACAGAAAAACAGGAAGGAGATGGCGTGTTACTGGGAGAACCAGCCTGCTGGCTGCCAGAAGCCTCACTGTGCGTTCCACCATGAGAAACCACGCTTCATAGATGGCAAATACGTACCGCCCAACAAAAGTGAGTAGGCACTCTGAAAGAACAGACTCTGACCCAGCCACCGTTAACTTGCTGATCTTCATCTCCTCAGCATCGCGTGACATGATTTTCACTTGACATGATATTGTGTATCAGCAGAACAAAAATATAAACGCAACATTTCATGAGCTGAAATAAAAGATCCCAGAAATTTTCCATATGCAAAAAAACGACTTATTTCTCTCAATTTGTGAACAAATCTGTTTACATCCGTGTTAGTGAACATTTCTCCTTTGCTAAAATAATCCATCCACCTAACAGGTGTGCCATATCAAGAAGCGGATTAACCTCTTAAGGATCAGACCTTTTTTTTTCCACATTTTCGCATAAAATGACATACCCAAATCTAACTGCCTGTAGCTCAGGACCTGAAGCAAGGATATGCATATTCTTGATACCATTTGAAAGGAAACACTTTGAAGTTTGTGGAAAAGTTAAATTAATGTAGGAGAATATAACACATTAAATCTGGTAAAAGATAATACAAATGCAAGAGAAAGGCCACAATATAATATTGCAGTTTAGGCGCAATCTATATTTTGGCCACTAGATGGCATCAGTGTGTGTGCAAAGTTTCAGATTGATCCAGTAAAGCGTTGCGATACTGGATTATTTTGTATCAAGTCTGCCCAAATGTGCCGAATTGGTCAATTGATACAAGTACATAACTATAGAGAACATACATTTTGTATTACCATATCATTTTTGTAAGTTTACACACTCCCAGGAATGTCATACATGATGGATCATTAGCTTATACACTAACTTTCACATATCTAGTTGGCCGGGTGGGGTGGGTGTGGAGCCAGAGACAGCAAGGGTTCAAACTGTAAAACCCAGTTCCTACATTTGAATAAAAAAATGTATTTTATCAAACAAAACTGCTACATTTTATCTCTTGGACCCTCAGGATGACAAATCAGAGCAAGATTACTGAATGTAAGTACATTATTTACCTTCAGAGGTAAATGTATAAAATCAGTTGCCGTGATAAGTTTTTAGTTGTTGTGCACTCTCCTCAAACAATAGCATGGTATTTTTTCACTGTAATAGCTAATGTAAATTGGACAGTGCTGTTATATTTAAAATAATTTAAGCTTTCTGCCCATATAAGACATGTCTATGTCCTGGAAAGTTTGCTGTTACTTACAACAGTCATGCTAATCACATTAGCGCACGTTAGCTCAACCATCCCGTATACGGGACACCGATCATGTTGAGGTTAAACAGCATGATCATTACACAGGTGCACCTTGTGCTGGGGACAAAAGGCCACAAAAATGTGCAGTTTTGTCACACAACACAATGCCACGTGCGTCTCAAGTTTTGAAAGAACGTGAAATTGAAATGCTGACTGCAGGAATGTCCACCAGAGCTGTTGCCAGAGAATTGAACGTTATTTCTCTACCATAAGCCGCCTCCAATGTGTATGGCTTTGTGTGGGCGAGCGGTTTGCTGATGTCAACGTTGTGAACAGAGTAGTAGCGGTGGGGTTATGGTATGGGCAGGCATAAGCTACAGACATTGAGCACAATTGCATTTTATAGATGGCAATTTGAATGCACAGAGATACCGTGACGAGACCCTGAGGCCCATTGTCAGGCCAATTGTCCGCCGCCATCACCTCATGTTTCAGCATGATAATGCATGGCCCCATATCGCAAGAATTTGTACACAATTATTTTAAGCTGAAAATGTCCCAGTTCTTCCATGGCCTGCATACTCACCAGACATGTCACCTATTGAGGATGTTTGGGATGCTCTGTATCGACGTGTACGACAGCGTGTTCCAGTTCCCGCCAATATCCAGCAACTTCGCACAGCCATTGAATAGGAGTGGGACGACGTTCCACAGGCCACAATCAACAGCCTGATCAACTATGTGAAGGAGATTTGTCGCACTGCATGAGGCAAATGGTGGTCACACCAGATACTGACTGGTTTTCTGATCCACGCCCCTACCTTTAAAAAACAAAAAAGTTATCTGTGACCAACAGATGCATATCTGTATTCCTTATGATGTGAAATCCATAGATCAGGGCCTAATGAATTTATTTCAATTGACTGATTTCCTTATGAACTGTAAAATTGTTGAAATTGTTGCATTTTATATTTATATTTTTGTTCAGTATATATTCAGGACTGAGATGAATAGCATATTTGGGCTCACTTATGAACAAACCTATTCTTTATCAGAACCAGAGTTTATCAATAGTTTCTGAACTGGATGGTTTTGTCACTCAGGTTTTGCCCTGAAAGAGGAAGAGGAGCCTCATGAGGATCCTTTGCCTCCTGTCCCTGCCTCCATCCCAGCCAACCCCCAGCTCCGTGGGGTCATTAAGGCGGAGACACAGGAGAACGTTCCCAGCCCTACCCACCCGCCTGTGGTCATCAATCCGGCAGATGATGATGAGGATGAAGATGGTGAGAAACACACTGTTCTTACGTCTTCACTAGGACTATTTAATTTTTGTGTAGTGTACTTACGTCATGTCAAGTTAATTTAAAGTGGAATCTACAAAGGTCACAATACACTTAACATAACCAAAAAGTTAGAGTAAAATATAAAGGCAATATAAACAACAAGAATAAAAAGCAATATCAAAATTAAGGAGCAAATAGTCCATAGGGCAAGAAGGAGCATGGCAGTGGAAAGATACAGAATGGAGCTGTTAAAGGGGCAGTAGCGCAGAGACACGTGGAGCAGACCTTCAAGGTGATTAAAGTTCTAGGTGTAAATTACATTTGAAGGTGGAGAGGGTATTGATATTGTTAGGACATACAGTACTTTCTTTTGTTTGCGATTTAATTTGGGAACTATCATTTGACTAAGGGGGGTTCCTGTGTGTGTGTGCGCAGATCAGTTCTCAGAGGGGGAGGACTGCAGGTACGGCTCAGACAGATCCAGAGTGGTCTCTCCCAGGAAGATGGCTGTGGCCTCCAGCTCAGGTAAGAGGAGAACAAAGAAACAGAACACATAGAAAAGATAAACATCCAACGCAGTGCCTGTTTTTAATGCGGCAATCAGCAGTTGAATCAATAACAAAGCGTATCTTCCCCCCACTGTTTCGCTAAAAAGCTGAGTGATGGAGCTGGAGAAATGTAACCACTCTCAAATTCAGACAGAGCTATGGATGTTTTAACCATGGTTTGAGACTATACAGTATTTGTTTACATTTACTTTGTTTACAAACATTGGGGTAAAACAAGATAATATTTTGGGTTCTGATGGGGTACGACAGTTGAACTAAGCTCCTAGGCATTTAAGTTATATTCTTCAAGAATCAATGGATACATCTCAATAATTTATAGTCCAACTGCAGGAAGCCCCTTTTTTAAAGTAGATTTAGTTTCAAACCCCACGAGGACTGGACTCAAACTTGAATTGACCGCTTCGCTTTTGAACGCATCCGTGACAACAGGGTTATATTTGAAAGCTCTTGTATTTGAAAGAACAATCCTCTTAAAGCTTTGCCCACTCAAGGCTGTGTGTCTCAAGTGGCCATTACAAGACCTCATTGTCTTTGAGCGGCCCCTGTGTCTCTCTGTGATTGGCTAACAATATTTTTGGGGAGGCACAGATGACTCGCTGAACTTTGGTGTCAGAACCTTGGAGGAGATCAGACTGAGGAAAGCCCTGAAAGCCAGTATGAGGATAGCTGGTGAGTTCATCCTTCCTCTCTCCTCCTAAATGCATCGACTATTGCCTTTTGTATCGTCGTCAATATTAGAAAAACTCATTTCAATGGAGCACTTATCTTTTCTGTTCTCCTACTGTTAGTGATACGGTGTGAGTTTATCAACTGTCCTTGTATCTCAGGTTATCCAGTTCCTGGCCAGGGCTCAGACCAGAGAAACAACGGAGTGAGCAGCGAGAAGGAGAACATGAAATCCTTCATCCGACCATCTCCCTTCACAGCTAAGGATGGTAAGAATCATTGAACACTGATCTAGCTGAGCCCCCGTCGTGTATGCATTGATAAACAAGATTAGATGTTTTCCCAGTTTGAATATTGTTGAAGTGAATCCCACAAGTACATATGAACACACACTCGCTACATGTCATGTGTAACATATGCATGCTACCCCCTCAGACACTGTGGTGTTTGGTGAAGAGACTGGGAGACGCAACGTCGTGGAGAGAATAGTCAAAGGTACATCTGAGACTTCTGGAAACTCCAATGTCTTGTATTGTCGAAGTTAAAGAATGAATCAGAGGAAAGCGTGCATACAGTACCAGCTGAGAATCACTAACAATTACATTTGACATTTGTCATTTAGCAGAAGTTCTTACCCAGAGCGACTTACACTGCCAGTCCATGTACAGTGTCTTGCAAAAGCATTCATCCCCCTTGGCGTTTTTCCTATTTTGTTGCATTACAACCTGTAATTGAAATTGATTTTTATTTACATTTCATGTAATGGACATACAAAATAGTCCAAATTGGTGAAGTGGAATGAAATAAATAACTTGTTTCAAAAAAATTATACAAAATAAATAACGGAAAAGTGGTGCGTGCATATATATTCACCCCTTTGCTATAAAGCCCCTAAATAAGATCTGGTGCAAACAATTACCTTCAGAAGTCACATAATTCGTTAAATAAAGTCCACCTGTGTGCAATCAAAGTGTCATATGATCTGTCACATGATCTCAGTATATATACACCTGTTCTGAAAGGCCCCAGTCTGCAACACCACCAAGCAAGCGGCACCATGAAGACCAAGGAGCTCTCCAAACAGGTCAGGGACAAAGTTGTGGAGAAGTACAGATCAGGGTTGGTTTATAAAAAAATATCCGAAACTTTGAACATCCCACGGAGCACCATTTCAATCCATTATTAAAAAATGGAAAGAATATGGCATCACAACAAACCTGCCAAGAGAGGGCCGACCACCAAAACTCACGGACCAGGCAAGGAGGGCCATAATCAGAGAGGCAACAAAGAGACCAAAGATAACCCTGAAGGAGCTGCAAAGTTCCACAGCAGAGATTGGAGTATCTGTCCATAGGACCACTTTAAGCCGTACACTCCACAGAGCTGGGCTTTAAGGAAGAGTGGCCAGAAAAAAAGCGATTGCTTAAAGAAAAAAAATAAGCAAACACGTTTGGTGTTCGCCAAAAGGAATGTGGGAGACTCCCCAAACATATGGAAGAAGGTACTCTGGTCAGATGAGACTAAAATTGAGCTTTTTGGCCATCAAGGAAAACACTGTCTGGCGCAAACCCAACACCTCTCATCACCCCGAGAACACCATCCCCACAGCATGATGCTGCCACCACCATGCTTCACTGTGGGGATGTTTTTCCATCGGCAGGGACTGGGAAACTGGTCAGAATTGAAGGAATGATGGATGGCGCTAAATACATGGAAATTCTTGAGGGGAAACCTGTTTCAGTCTTCCAGAGATTTGAGACTAGGACAGAGGTTCACCTTCCAGCAGGACAATGACTATAAGCATACTGCTAAAGCAACACTCGAGTAGTTTAAGGGGAAACATTTAAATGTCTTGCAATGGCCTAATCAAAGCCCAGACCTCAATCCAATTGAGAATATGTGGTATGACTTAAAGATTGCTGTCCACCAGCGGAACCCATCCAACTTGAAGGAGCTGGAGCAGTTTTGCCTTGAAGAATGGGCAGAAATCCCAGTGGCTAGATGTGCCAAGCTTATAGAGACATACCCTAAGAGACTTGCAGCTGTAATTGTTGCAAAAGGTGGCTCTACAAAGTATTGACTTTAGGGGGGTGAATAGTCATCTTTTCTGTTTTTTTTCTTTTCTTATTTCTTGTTTGTTTCACAAGACAAAATATTTTGCATCTTCAAAGTGGTAGGCATGTTGTGTAAATCAAATGATACAAACCCCCCAAAAATCTATTTTAATTCCAGGTTGTAAGGCAACAAAATAGGAAAAATGCTAAGGGGGGTAGCTACACAATTGTACAATCATGAGCTACAAAATCACACTGGGCGTTATTAGTTGTCCTACCACCTACACCCTAAACTTCCATGACCATTAATCTTTGACCTTTTAGAAGTTCCTGCCGGTGGTGACCTGCCAATGAAACGCCGTCTGGCCGAGCGCCTCGGGAGGAACATGGAGGAGGATGAAATGGACCTGCCCCCTCGGAAAGGTGAGCAAGGGGAAACTAATATATCCACAGTGGATTTAATTACCTCAGACTAATAGGAATACTTGTTCTTAAGAGTATGTCATTGAAATTGTATATTTAGTCTTTGTTCTTTAATGTTATATGTTGTGTCGATGGGCTACAACGAAATATTCATGTTCATTAGGGCACGGAACTGATTTTTTTAAAATTATGTTTGGCAAGAGAAAACAAAAATGTGCGTTTCTTATTGGTAGTCCCTCCCTGTTCCAGTCTGTCCTCCGTGCCTAATGAAAATGACCCTGGTTGTACTAATTAGTTCAAGCCCCTGATTAGTGCTTTATCTGAATCAGGTGTGTCTGTGATGGAACAAAGGAATGCACACTAGTTTCTCTTTAGGGCCAGGGTTACCCACCTGTGCCACATGAGATACGCAATAGTTGTATTGTTTGTGATTTGTTGATACTAAGAAGTAAAACCATTGTTGATAGTCATTTTCTTGGAGAATTTGGACTGGTTTTCATGTTATTTTCTTCTCCAAACAGCTCTGAAACCTGTCAGGGACAGACTGGGATTACCTGTTGAACCCACTGCTGCATCTGAATCAGGTAATCATTAACTCACCTCTCACAATTAACAAGTATCTCTTGAAATGTCTCTCTTAAAATTACTTATTAAAATCAAAATCATTAGAATGACTATTTTAATTTAGTTACTTTGTATATTCTTCTGTAAAGCGCTTTGGGTAGCTAATAAAATGTTTAAATGGTTTAACAGTATCTGTCTGAACAGTATACAGCTATTCTCCTTTTGTCATAATGTTGATAACTAACCTCTCCCTCAGCTGAGAGCAACAGCAAGACTAGAGCGTCTGAAGTAATCCGCATCAAAACCCTGGAGGAGATCAGGCAGGAGAAGTTGGCCAAGGCTCAGGCTCAGGGTCAGGGGGACGACCATCGCCCTTCAGTCCCTGATTCCACTGCTACCAAGGCCCCAAAGAGAAGCGCCGCTGTCAAATCTGCAGCTGGCCTTCACGTGAAGACCACCTTTGAGATCCTCCACGCCAAGAGGAAGCTGGAGGAGGACCAGGGGCCCAGCCTCAGGAAGGCCAAGCAGCCGGCTGTGGAAGCAGCTCCAGGGAACTCCCAGGGACCCCCAGAGCCAGTCATGCTCATGCGGGTGGCCCCTCCTGGGGGAAGAGTTAAGGTGAAGACCCTGGAGGAAATCCGCAGGGAGAAGGCAGCCAGGATGCAGGCCCTGGGACAGGAGGCATTTAACATGAAGATCCCAGGCTCCGACCCGGCCTCCGGAGAGGGAGGTGCCAAGAAGTCCTGCATACTGCGCATCAACAAACCAGCTTCTGGTTAAAAAAAAATTTTCTTTGATTTGAGAAACCTTTTCCAATTGCTCATAACGACCACTAGCTGTAGTGTTTTGTATAATTCTAAGACATTATTTTGTTGTCCTTACAGCTGCCAGCACTACCACCCAGAAGACATCCGAGGTGACCGAGAAGAAGCCAGCTGAGCCTGCTGCTGTTGCTACTGAGGTAAGACTTCCATACCTTCTATCATGTGTGTCCTGTCTGAATACCTTAGATCCAGATATGTAGTTCTACTCTGAATCAGAGCGGGTAATCAATGAATAGCTCTGGTCTTTAGGCCACCCCTGCTAATGGTAGCAGCGTGAATGTGAAGACCTTCGAGGAGATCATGCATGAGAAGAGGCTCCGCAAGCAACCGCTGCAGAAGGAGCAGGCCTCGTCCACCAGCCACTCAGAGGGCTCCGTCAAGGCTGAATCTACCCATAAACAGGCCGCAGGCCCCGCCCCCCAGAGGGAGAACAGGGCGAGGGTGAGCCCCTCTGCCGCCCCCTCACCCCCCACCATCACCCTGGAGGCACCTGCCCAGGCGCCCAAGGCCCTCCTTCGCCAGCGCATCACGCTCAAACCCAAGGCAGCCTCCCCTCTGCCCTGTGCCACCGCCTCCCCCCAGCAGGGGTCTCCACTGATGCAGGCCGAGCCAGACTCCCCCTCCCTCAGCCCCAGGAGCTCCAGCGCTGCCCCAGGCAAAAGGGAGAGAGGCTCCCCAGGAGGTTCCAGTCCCCCCAAGCAGGCTGCCTTAGCAGCAGCTGCCTCCCCTAGGCCCTCCGGGGAAGAGGCTCCAGTTGAGAAGGCTCAGGATGGAGCTCAGAAGAAATCCCCTGGGCAAGCTACTGAAGCTAAAGGTACGTGCCTGCAGAGAAGAAATCCCAAAATCTTATGCAAAGATCAACTCCAAAGTATTAGTCTTACCTCCTGTGTGCTGTTGTTTCAGTGAGGCCCAAGCTGAACGTGAGGCCTTCTGTGATGAAGCCGGCTGCCCAGGTAAAGCCAGGCCAGAAAAGGAGAGAAGCAGAAAGATCTGCTGTTGCTGCAGTCAAACCCCTCAACTGCACCTCCACAGCACAGGAAGAGCCACAGCAGGAGCTGCCCTGCAAATGGAGAGAGGTAGGTCTCAAAGCTCACGCTCTCTGTGACAGGATTCCTTTGTGATGTTATGGAGATGTACTTTATAAAACCACTGTTATTATAACCTGTGTTGATAACCTTGTGTGTTCTCGCCAGGTGTCCTCTCCCTCCTCCAGAATGCAGGCCCAAATAAGCCTGATGGTTCCCAGGAGTCCCCCCACCACCCTGGGCCTGGGCTGCAGCTCCAGTCCCCTGAGAGAGGAGTTCCAGGCGGTCCCTGTCAAACAGCACAGCCCAGCCATCACCACAGCAGCCCCAGACACCTGCATAGTCCCACAGAGGTAACACTGGCAAACCGCGCTACAGTTACAACTCACCTTTTATACTGTCATATGGTTAAATCTAAAATAAACCCAAACTTCTATGGCTGAATGAGGTTAAATGAACTCTGCTCCTCTCGCTCTCCTCACCAGTCCTTTGGTGAAGACGCCCACCCAGCCCAAGGCTCGGCGGCCCACCGCTAGCACCTCCGCCATGGACGAATTTGACGAACTGATGAATGAGTTTACAGATGACCGTCTGGAAGATGACTTGGAGCTGGACCCCGGCAAGGGAGAGGATGACTACCTGCTGGAGCTGTCTGAGATGATTGACAGCTAACCCAATCATGACCCCTGGCCGACCCTTGACCTTGAGTAATGCAAATGTTAATGTAACCTGATACCCCTGACTGAACTAGAGTAAGTCCTACATTCATCACCACCAATAGAATTTCACCACCGGAACTAATCAACAACCCTCAGTCAACCACCTGAACTAAACACCAGTTGAACTTTAAGCTACTACCAGAGAAACTCACAGGGCATCACCTATCACTGCCATTAGAGTAGGGTTGATTTGACACATCTCCTCATTGATTTGGGGAAGTATGTTTTTATGTTACTGAAAATCCCCAACCACCTTCACCATCTCTCAGCCCATTAAATGGTAGTAGACTGGTTGCTAGCTCCAACATGTCAGAGGGGACTTATGTTATTTTTCAATTAAAATGCATTTTATTTTACATTTTTAGATGGTACTGTTTTTACTCTTTACTATTTAATTCATGGTTGTTACCTTTTTGTCCTGGAAAAACAATCCTTTATGTATTTTAATTTCTGCACCTTTTTGATTATTTGATTTTTACATTTACATTTAGTCATTTAGCAGACACTCTTATCCAGAGCGACTTACAGTTAGTGAGTGCATACATTATTATTTTATATATTTTTTCATACTGGCCCCCCGTGGGAATCGAACCCACAACCCTGGCGTTGCAAACGCCATGCTCTACCAACTGAGCTACAACCCTGCCGGCCATTCCCTCCCCTACCCTGGATGACGCTGGGCCAATTGTGCGCCGCCCCATGGGTCTCCCGGTCGCGGCCGGCTACGACAGAGCCTGGATTCGAACCAGGATCTCTAGTGGCACAGCTAGCACTGCGATGCAGTGTCTTAGACCACTGCGCAATTTGATGACACTAGTAGTGATATACTCGTCTAAGGGTTTTCTTTTTTTGGTCCCGAATGAGAACATGAAAAAGCAAACATTTGGTTAGGGAATGACATACAAATATTTTTCTAACGTCCTCAGTAATTACCATCTTGCATTGTAAAGACGAGCTTGTGGTCTTACCTGCCAAGCCTGTCACCCATGGTTGTTCAATCATGTATCATTGTTTGTGGCAGAAAGACTGAATCTGTGTATACTTATAAGACTGCTTTAAATGGAAGAGCTACAATAATTAACTGGTCTAGCAGGGTGTCGGACTGCTGCTACAATTACAATAGTTAGCCTGCTCCTGCCTCCTGTATTTGCCTTGGGCTCAGGTCTACTGTCGGACTGACGCTCCAAAAATCATGTACAACGTTTTATTCACCTCTAGTTCTGAACTGATATAACGGTAAATTTAAAGTGGTTGTGGGAACTTTGTATAAGCTATATTTGAGATTAACTAAATGGAAAGATGGGTTGAATAATGAAATGAATGTTTACCCTCAAAAGTAAGTATTTGGACCTACAAGTAAGTTTTGTATTACAGAAGCTAACTGTGAAATTAGTCCCTTTTTAAATACAACTACCATGTTCCTCTAGTTTTGGCTACCTATTGTTTTTTCCCCCTTTTTATTTATGAATTGTACACTGGTCAACAAATGTATGTTTGGAAGAAATGCCATTTTGTATCATGTTTTAAACCTATCCAATTACTTCTGACTGAACTCACACAGTTGAATATGAAACATTACTGTTTAACATCCAACCTGCTCGCTTGTTCAAACTTTTGTTACAAATAGTGTTTTCTAGTCTTAAAATGTGAAAAAGCAGCTTCTCAGGGACTACGAATCTGCTGTCTGACTTTGAATTCTACTGACACTTTCCACTTTCCTCTGCTACCATGTGACATTTGGCCTTAGTGGTTGGAGTACCTGTTGGTCCTGTCCCATGTCAACTGTGATCAGATATCTGCTGATCAGAGTTGTATGATCTTGGATGAGGAGCCTGTTGGTTGTGTATCTGTACCTGCTTGAGCCTGTTCTGATATTCATGATCTAAATGTCTAAAGGGTGTTGTATATAATAAAAAAGGCTTTCATGACAAGTTGCTATCCCCTAGTCTCTTTGTATTCCAGAGGTGTATGTCGAGGACTGAAGACATGCCAATCTAAGAAAGTGGTTCAGTTATCGCTACATTGGAAAAATCTGAGTGCCAGGGTCATGTATGAGTTCATTAGGTGGCCTAAACTTACCTGGAGCGATCAACTACTGTTGAATGTATAACTCTTGAAATTTGTATTTTTCAAGACAAATTGTTTTCCCCTCCGATACAGCAGATGGCGCACTTTAGTTTGGTCAGCGCTTTCTGAACAGAAACAAATCAGACGCATAGTAACCAAATATTTTTTATAAATAGCCTGCGTTTCCAATGGGAGCAAATGAATCAGAGGGCAGAACAAGCAAGGACGTAGGCAGAGCCAAGCACGAGCTAGCGAAATCCTATTGGCGCGTTCTAGCATGTATTTGCATATTTCTGTTAGAGAACGCCTACTCTGAAGTGCGCGTGTGCAATAACGCAATACGCCTAAAAAAACGCTATTTTAAAGAAACTTTGGCAAAGGGTAATGTTGGCCAAAGTCCATATCGCTCCCATCTTCTCCCACTGCCGGCCACTGGGCTCCCTTCATATTTGGTAGTAAGTGGATACACCAACCGGATGCTTCACATTTATACATCCGGTGAAATATCTGGCTCATTGTTCTATCTGTGTCGTCATATTCGTGAAACCAGATAGCTATAAACAAAGATGGTGGATTGTGAAAATACTATTATTACCTGAAAGATTATAAGTAACACCTTTCATCGGTGATACTACTCTCACAGCAAACAAAATGTCAAAATTGGAATTGTTGAATATATTTCTCACTGAGAGATTAACCGCGGCTGCCGAGGAGATATTTGGGGTTGTGAAGGGGACGATAGTTGAGTACCAGACAGAAATCGTTCGCTCCAAGGAGGAGAACAATCGTCTCCGAAAGCTGCTGGATATCGCTGTCCAGCGCGTTCTACTCCAAACAGGTAGCTAGCTAAGTAACGCTAGGATATGTACCTACTTTTATTTTTCAAAACGAGGGAATTGTTTTGGTTGTTGCCAGACTCCACTAACTAATCTATCGAAAATACCAGAATTGTTCTATTGGACAAACGTTAGACTAGAGAATATGAAAAGCCTACCACAGGGCTGCCAACTTTGAAGAAAGCTTGGAGTGAGATTTTGCCTAGACGGGGCCTGGAAAATGTTACTGTTTTAAAGCTCATTTCCTGCAATTCTATGTATTTCGACATGGTTTAGGGATATGACCAGGGTAAAAAAAAAAAAAACAGGTCAGCTGTATTCAGAATGCTTTGAACATTAAATGGACACTCAAAATTCGACGACTTTGTTACTTTGAGGTTTTTGGGGGATGACATTTAAAGTATGCAATTATGCAAATGTGGTTTGACACTTTATTCAGACAGTAATGAAATCAGTGCACCGGAAATACTAATATTAATGGTTGATTGCAGTGGCTAACCAAATCATAGATTGCAGTCTTCTTGTCTGTAGACTGCTTTATATATATTTTTATTTATTAATTAATTTTTTAGTCATTTAGCAGACGCTCTTATCCAGAGCGACTTGCAGCTAGTGAGTGCATACATTTTCAAGGTAAGGACACAAACATTTAGTATTTTGTAATTTTGGTGAACTCTCTTTAAAATAGTGCTGGAAGAAAATCCTGCTTGCTCTCCTGATCTATGTTTCCCAAGTGTTGGATGTTTGAAAATGTTCTTGTTATAACAATTCATTTCTCAAAAAAATGTCTCATGAATATCAATATGCAGGTGGTTTATATCAACTAGTTGAAGGTCATTGTCATCATCTTACACTACATAGACAAAATATGATGCGTTTATGAATTGTGAGTCCCCCTACCATCTCTGCCTAGCATGTGCATAATAGTAAAATGTCAAAAATGATATTTGAGGCCTGGAGCGTTTTAATATCCAGTGCTTATTTGCAGGACTTATCCAAAACTTTCTATGAATGGCTGCAAAAATAAATAGCCTCAAATCATTCATTTTCAAAGACACAAGTAGGCATATCAGATTTAAAATCTGTGATTACACTGGCAAAATTGGTAAGAAGTGAAATAAAATACTGTAAATGTGGGGAATAACAGTAGTGCTCTTGCTGACAAGCACACTAATTACCCTTTTTATTTCAGCCCATTGTTAAGAATGAGAATTGTTCAATTGATCAGACTAAGTAAAGTAAATTGATAATAAAATCTGCTCTAGAAAAGATGACAAATCTGCCCCTACACCCAAACCAATAGTTTTTTCTATTTATTGTCCCCCCTCTAGAATCAAACTTACACTTTTGAGTTCACAATCTGTTTGACCAAATGATTTTCATAGTTACAAATCAGGTCACCCTACCAAACTTCCCTGCTAAAACATACTGTAGGTCTGTCTGCTGCCTTTTCATTGTCAAAGCCTAAATGCCAATCACCAAACGAGGGGACTAATGCAAGTGTGGATTAAATCGACTTTAGTACGTGCTGTCAAAAAGCTGCATTCTGCAATAGGGACGGGAGTAACAGCAACCTAAATTTGTTAACAACATTGTATCTAAAAAAGCGCTACCGTGCTGCTCTTTTTACCGTTTTATAAACTCAGAAGAGAATGTTCTCTTTCTCCATTCACCTCCACTCTAATCTTGAGGAGCGTTTCTTGAAAACGCGTATCCAATTCCGTTTATCCCTTACATAACTAGTCCAATCATATGCTTCAATGTGCTGCGGTTCAGTTCTGTGGCAAGACAGGACAATGAGAGGTTCCGCACGTCATGTTAAATTGCAGTCGCGATGCTCTGATTTCAAAATTATTTGGGGCACAGTTGAAAAGTTAACACTAAAATGAACTAATTAGACAAATAAAAGCAGTAATTTTCAATGCGTGATATGAGGTGTGTGAGCGTGAGAAGAGGGTAAAATTAGTGTCTCACGGCCAATGCGTGAGAGTTGGCAGCTCTGCTACCATGCAGGCTGAATCTGAATCTTGTTTTACAGTCGCGCAGGAAGCAGCCATTCAACTTGCCATTCACCAGCTTTCCAAGCTTATAATGTCAAAATACGTTCGGTACTTACCAAAGACTGGAGTTTCGCTGAGCAACTATTATTACTGCCGGTATGTACTTCCAAAAAAGGTCTAAATAAAAAGTTACATGCAACCGAAAAAATGCCTGTGTTTTAACAGGCAGACCAATTCAGATCTTTTTGTCCACTAATTGGTATTTTTTTTAACCAGTTAGCACCTTTTTATTTGTCGAGTCATGCGTCCTCCGAAACATGACCGGCTGCACCAATGTGTCAGAGGAAACACCGTTCACCTGACGACCGAGGCCAGCCAGCAGGCGCGCCACAAGGAGTCGCTGGGCCAATTGTCTGCCGCCCTATAGGACTCCTGATCATGGTCGGTTGTGATACAGCCCGGGATCGAACCCGGGTCTGTAGTGACGCCTCTAACACTATGATATAGTGATGCCCCACTCGGGAGGCCATATTATATATTTTTCAGAGCCGATCTGATTGGTCAAAAGACCAGTTAGTGAAAAAACATCAGAATTGTCTGACTGTCTAAATGCAGCCTAAGTATATTGTTTTTGGCCAAATCATCCACAGTTCTGCACCTCCAATAAAATCACTCATAACACACACAGGTCGGCTGATCCAGCAGCAGGAAAGGTAATTGATTTGATCACCTACAACAGTAGATTTATCAATCTGTTGTTTCACCCACATTACACAGAATGCAATAATATGTTATGTAAGTAGATTAAGTAGACAACAGGGTAAGTTTTTACAGTGATTGTATATTTGTAGATAGGCTTAGTGATTTTAGTGGATGTGCAGAAGAGGTAGATTTGGCGCATGCGCACATGGTCAAAAACTATTCTTAGATTCTTCCAGACAAGCCATTTTTTCAGTTGCATTTCACTTTTTATTTAGAACTTTTTTGGAAGTACTTACCGGCCGTAACGACTGCCACAGTCGTCTTTGGTAAGTGCCGAACGTATGACATTTTAAGCTTGAAAAGCTGGTGAATGGCAAGTTGAATGGCTACTTCCTGGGCTTAAAGGAGAATCTCCATATTCAACATCTCCTGTAAACCCTAACTCTGGTTCACATCAGAGCATATGAGCGGAGTGGAGCGGTGAGAATCTCAGCTCCTCGCTCACGGAGCTGTTCACCCCTCCGCTCCCCCCGCTCAAAGCCACTTCAGGCCAGTCCGCTCATTATCGCTCAGCGCTCAACGAAGTTTGCATCGCGCTCCACTCAAATCGCCCGGTTGAGCTGCGCTGGCGAAGTGTTGCATCCCTTCGCGTTCTCCTTTACTCAGCGGTTCATAGTCCATGTAAATCATTTTTTAAAATGCTACATCCAGCTCTCTTTTTCTCTCCCTTGTTATGGTTGGGCCTTTGTGTGCAGTGAATAAACTTTTGAATTCCTCAACCCTTTTCTCTTGTTGCTGCTGCTGCTCCTCTTGCTCTATAAAATACAAATTCATGGACGACTCAAATTAAATTAAACGAACCATATATTAGGCCTACTTTGAATGACAAAACGAATTTGTTTGAATATTAGGCTATATTTACTTTACACTTTTGTTACAAGTTACCCTATTCAACTTGCTAACCTTTTGCTTTCTTCGCAGCATGTTTCTCGTAGCACACTTTCGTGTTTTCGAGAGATGTCTTTTTAGATTCCAAAATGAATCTTTACTGACTGAAACGATGTCACCACATTCTTTTTCTTGAACCACATTATCATTGTTAGTTAGTTTTATATTAATAGTACACCTGTATGACTTCTCATTTTCCTTTTTGAAGTACTTGGTGAACTCCATTATTGAGCCGAGTTCTGACTGAAAATAGTCTACTGTTGATGACTGTGCAAGACACAGATGGATTCTGGGTCAGGCTTGAGCATGCTTCAGACTCGTTGTGTGAGCGGAGCGAAATTGGAGCGGGACATAGGGCGACGCTCCGTCCATTTAAAAATGCCGCTCTGCGCTCTGTCCAAAATCCGGCCGCTCGCGCTCCCCGCTCGCTCCCGCTCCACTCCGCTCACATGCTCTGGTTCACATGCAGGCTATACATGTCATACATGTACTGTAGTGCTAAGATAGAATTACCTTCACCTGACTTTCTTCCTTTCCTTTCCCTCTAGACCACCATGCTATCCATCTCACTGAAGATGCATCTTCCCCTGAGGAGCAGCACTGTGAGCAGGAGTGGAGCCCTGGTCTGGGCCAGGACCCAGAGCCCACACAGATTAAAGAGGAACAGGAGCTCAGAATCAGCCAGGAGGAAGAGCAGCTTCAGGGTCTGGAGTCTGATACCAAAGGAGAGTCAATATTAACTCCTCCCTTTGTTAAAAGTCACTGTGATCAGGACCCACCTCAGCCTTCACATCTTCCACATACCCAAACTGTGGACATCAGAGAAGGAGACTCTTTAGCCAGAACCATATCTTATAAACAGATCAAAATAGAGAATGAAGGAGAAGGCTACAGCACATCAGAACCAACCATTGACTTACAGCCCATCTTCACCATGAATTCAGACTGTCTTGCAGCTTCGAGTGAAAACTGTGCCCAACCCAATATCAACAATATAATTCAGAGAGAAGGACTCCCAGTATATAAGGCCCCACAGCCACAGGGAACAAGCAGTGCATATGAAAGAGAAAGTATAGGTCTACACATAGATGTTAGAGGCCAGAACACCTCAAAGCTGCCTCAACAGAGATCCCCCTATCAACCCCAGGGCATACAGAGAGTGTATCGTTGCAGAGAGTGCGGGAAATGCTTCAGTTTCTCCTGTCAGTTAGAGGTCCACATGCGATGGCACACCAAGGAAAGACCATTCAGCTGCTCTGTGTGCAGAAAAGGCTTCACAACCATCAGCATGTTGAGGAGGCACCACCGCATTCACACTGGAGAGAAGCCCTTCCGCTGTCACATCTGTGGGAAATGTTTCAACCAGTCGGCTCACCTGAACACTCACTTTAAAATTCACCCAGGGGAGAGACCACACGGCTGGAAAATGGCTCGGTCAAAACGTTAACAGCAGAGACATCTACGCTCACTCTTGAAATTAAGTTCTTAGCACAGAAGGAGAGTAACATGTAAATCTGGGCAGTTTAATTATTGGCCAGGATTTAAAACACTAGAAGAATCAGTGATTGATGTTTGAACAATGCATTACAATACAGTGGGGGAATGGGAATACCTTTTGAGTAATGAAAACTGTTTTTCACTGATCCATGTGATTGTATTGCTGCATGCGTCATCATCTGAAGCCTTGCGTGCGGCCATGCTTGGTTCAGCGCGAACATGAGGATATGAATACTGCCAGTAGCTGTATATATGTTGACTGATGATGTGTTGTTCTTTTGTAATTACACTACAAATTTTACAGGAAGCAGAGGATAGAATCTGTCTTATTTAGTAGATGCAGACCAATCCATTTATTTGATCATCCTCATCTATTTCCCCTTAGGACTTGGACCTGACTGCTGGTCTGTGTGACTATCCTATTAGGGTCTTGACAGTTATCTCTGATGAAATTACTGTGTTAAAATGTGTTCCGTACTGAATGTTAACTGTTTTTTAATAAATAATTGGTCTAATGTTTTAAGGTCAGGATTGCTATGTATCTTCTACCATTCAGGCTGCAGCGCCACGTGTGGGTGTAGTAAAATGTGTGGGTGTAGTAAAATATGTGGGTGTAGCACCATGTCAAGCGCCACGTACCGTGGTGGCGTCTTCATAAATAAGACTTTCCCTGTTATCCCATTCTCACAGTTACCATTAAGTCCAACCCAATTTCATTTCCAATAATGACATTTGACAGCAAGGGAAAAATACACTTTTTAAATGACATTTGTTTTATTAAATCATCAAATGTTGTGCAACATTGAGTCAAAATAGATTGTACATAGTTCAATATTTGAACAAAGAGCCTCATTCTCAAACCACACTTTCAGTTCAAGCAGTCACACATATTTTAAGTAAGATTAGCCGCTTAACAATCCAGTAACCGGTCTGTCTGTGGCTCTCCACAATGTTATGCAAGTTCCTGCATTCATGAGTGACTACCTTTTTCAACCTAAAGCAGTGCCTCTGATACAGTATGTACGTCTAGATATCAGTTAGCACCTTTCAATCTAGTTTAAACTGACACATTTCCCCCACGCAAATCATGATTCCTCCAGTTTGTGAATCAAGCTCATATGCCTTCTAAGTGATCCCATCTGATTGACGTGTTTGCTGCATTCATGGCATGGATGCGGTTTCTCCTCTAGGTGAGTCTTCATTTGCACGGTCAGAGCTTCACTCAGCGGAGACCTTGTCACATTCTTCACAGCGATGCGGTTTCAACCCTCTGTGACTCGTCATACTTGTGGTCAGGAATCTCTTCACAGGGAAGCTCTTTCCACAAATATGGCAACGATGCAGTGTGTGTGTCCTCGTGCATCTGCAAGCTTCCTTTTCGACTGAAAGTATGAATGACTTGGTGTGATTTTTAAATGAATGATGTTTGAAAGCGTTTTCCACACAGGACACTGGCATGAGTCCTCACAATTTGCACTTTCAGGTTAGCCTTATAACAGGTACAAGTGTTAGTCACACGCTCAGTTATATAAAATGTGGTTACAGTAGCTTATACAGCAGGTGACTGTTTTCATCCCACTGTTTTCATAAGAACTCAACTTTTTTTCTCCAAATCGTTTTTTTCCTCTTGTATCGTTTGCCTTCTTTCTTTCTAGTTTTGTTTGACCTCTTTAAATATTTTGGCAATTTCTCTCCCTTTCTTTTCCTCTGTTGCAATTGCTGTTCAACCCTCCATAGCTGTTTAACTAGAGTTTTCTTTTGCATTGTTTCTGCAATCTGCACTTTTCTTTGTCATGTGTTGAGACTGAGGACTACTCTGGTTGAAGGTCCCTCTTTGGTGCATGAGAGCATTTGAGACGATAGACTCTTCCTCTGTAATTAGAGTATCCTTAAAGGACACTGGAGTTAAGTACATCACAACTTTTTTCTTCTCTCTGCACTTTTGTTTTTGCTGCCCTCCACTGTTCCTTTTTTTGTGCCCTGGCTGTTTCGGGTATCAATTCTATTGGAGGTTGATCCTTCTTCCCTTGAGCCCTTCTTTGATAACTAAAATCAAAACAATAACTGATATCAGATGTGAATCACTCTAAATTGACTATACAATTAACTAAATAAGTTTAAATGTACAATGAAATTCTGAAAATGCTACCATGCTCTTCTCTTGGCAAAGTATTCCTCCTTTGCTAGAGGATCAGAATTGATCTATGCCCTGTGGCGTGCAGCCATCTCCTTGCTGGATGAACGCATCTGTAAAATAATAATAATAAAAGGCTGAAAATTAATTTATTATTTACTGTGTGGACAAGAGTGTCAATATTTTCTTTTGAATGACACCAATATCACATTTTTGTTGTTCAAATTCAACCACGGACAGTTACCCAATATATTTTCACCCTTTGATATGTAAAAACTGTACAAATGTATGCTTTGTGATACATTGATACAGTGCCAAACAGAAGAGAACATGTAGAAATGTGCTATAACAAGATTGTTTGTATTTATTGTTTTTATATATAAAATATTATCCTTGGACACATTGTCAATCATGTCAATTGCCCTCATACATCAATCAATACATTCAATTCAATCAACTAACAGTAGTGACATGAGGGGAATGTCCTACATTATTAAGCTGGTCCTTCAGATATTCTGACTGAATCATGTTTCCCTCACAGAGCACCTCCACCCTTGGGTCTTGTCTTCTTCATATGCTCTGTCTGATGGAAGCCTTTATGGCAAACACGGCAACAAAATTTTTTTACCATGTGTGTATCTTGTATGTCAATATATCCCTTCCTGGGGAAAGATTTTCTGCACACATTGCAGCTAAAAAGCTTCTCCCCTGTGTGAACTAGCTGGTGGATGTTTAGTCTACTCTGAGATATAAAGCTGTGGTCACACTGTGAGTATGTATATGGTGAGCATGTACACTCCCCTCCATATGTATTTGGACAGTGAACCTAACATTTGAATATCAGCTCCATACGCCAGCATTTTGTATTTGGGATCAAATGTTTCATGAGATGACAGTACAGAATGTCACCTTTTTGTTTGAGGGCATTTTCATATCTGTTTTATCATTTAAAAATGAAAGCACTTCATGGATCTAGTTCCCCAATTTGAACAACTAATAAGTATTTGGACAAATTCACTTATCGTGTATTAAATTAGTCAAAAGTTTAGTATTTGGTCCCATATTCTTTGTACTCAATGACTACATCAAACTTGTGACTCTACAAACTTGTTGGATGCATTTGCAGTTTGTTTTGGTTGTGTTTCGGATTATGTTTTGTCCAATAGGAACTAAATGGTGAATAATGTACTCTGTCATTTTGGAGTCCCTTTTATTGTAGGAAGAAAATATGGTAATGGTGAGAGGTTAGCATGTTTTGTTGTAGCCTCTTCATGATTCATTCATCATTTCTCTTAATCATGGCATTATTAGGATTATTTTAGAAGTGTTCAGAAACATTTGATCTACTTAGAAAGAAAATTACTCCAGTTATCATTAACCATTCAGTTCCTATTGGGCAAAGCATAACCCAAAACACAATGAAAAACTGCAAATGCATCCAACGAGAAACGAGTTTGTAGTCACAAGCTTAATGTATTCATTGCGTGCTAGGAATATGCACCCAAATACCACACTTTTTACTACTTCAATACACTAAGTGAATTTGTCCAAATACTTCTTCAAATGAGGGCACTAGATACATAAAATGCTAGTATTTCTAATCGGTAAAACCGGTACGTATGAAAATACCCTCAAATAAAAAGGTGACATTATGTACCGTAGCCGCATGAAACCTTTGATCTCAAATTTGTTCTTTCCACGGCCCTAAATATTTCAAAAGCAGCTGCTTTAATTGCTCAGTAAGAAACACATTCAGCAGATGTCGTTTAGACATTATAATAGTATACAAAAAAGTCAATAGAAATGCTGTCCTGCGGAATCTGGAATCACGGAAGTAAAAAGTGTTCTTCTGCTGTGGGTTTTATGGCGGACTGCATCCAAAAGTTGTATTGCCGCCACCAACTGGACGATTTTAAACCAAAATTAAAATAAATCCATACTAATGATTCTAACAATCCACCCTAATAAAAATAGTACATTGCCAAAACAAACAAGACTCCCACTTCTTCCTTCTTTTAGTTCTCCATATCTCGCTTCTCAGACTCTACGACCTGAGAAGGTGGTACAGCATTTGCTAATATTCCATGTAAATCCTTTGCTGTGAAATCTTTCAGCCCCAGAAACCCCCCGCAGTCACAATGATTTCAATCTTCCTAGATCTTTTCTCCATTGTGAAGAAGGCCACAAAGTCCACCCTTTTAACCTTTAAAATGTCAGGATCCTCTTGGTGTAAGACAAACCCTGCAGCCTGCAGTGAAGGCCTATCCACTACCATGGACTCTTCTGGTGCAACATTCAAACCCTCAACCCTTTTCACAGCTTCTGCATATGAAATGCTCTGGACAGCCCTGACTTTGGCCACCTCATTCTCCTTTACCCTTGTGGGGCATTCAGAAGACGTGGCTTCATGATTCCCACCGCAATTACAACATGTCACATTTTCTTCACTTTTTATAATACATAATATGATATTTTCCACATCTTGTACATCTCGGCTTCTCCCTTCTACAAACACTTTCTACATGACCAAAAGCTTTACAATGTTCACACTGCATTGTTCTTGGGATAAATGCTTTAACTCTGTAGTTAATATACCCTAACCTCACTTCATTATGGAGACTCCATTTCAAAAAACAAGATAAACTCTTCAATTTTTCCCCATTCACCACTCGATTCATCCGACGTGCTTCAATCACTCCAGGAATATTTTTCATATTTTCCAAATCAACTTCCCACGAAACGCCAGATAGAACCACCTTAAGGGGTGCCCTGTTCCGAAGCGACACACACAACACTTCAAACGTATCAAATCGATGAAGACACAACGCACTTTCCTTTTGATCCGCAGAATCACAAAAAAATCTAAACAGCCCGCCTCTCGTGATCCTCACATCCTTCACTTTACCCAGCACTCTCTCCACCAGTTTGGATAACTCAAATGGTTTCTTCAAGATTGGTGCTCAGCTGCTCCTTATTAACAAACCGTATTCCTACTAGATACGAAGGGTCATTCTCATCAATGTACCCTACTTTGCTCCGTTTTCCATTCTTTTGAACAATACTCCAATTCTCCTTGATTGTACCGCCATTGTATTCAGATTCCACTTCATCTTCTGTCGCTCGACCTCAAAAACAGATAATTCCGCACAAGAGCCGTTGTCAGTAAACTGTGTTTGCGTCCTTATCGCTCTTTGTTCATTGATGCTATTGGTATACCGCCACCTGTTGGATTGGAGTGATATAAAGCCATAAACAAACCAACCACAGATTTTGGATGGATGCAGCTCTGAGTAATCCTAAATGTAATATGATTTAACCTTACTCTTAAATATTTACATATTTTTGACAGCACTTACGTTTGTAGACAACCATTCATTGACAGCAAAATGATCGTAATCAACCCACACAAAAGGGGGCGGTATTGCAATCACTGATAGCAATCTC